CAAAAAACTAGAATGAGAGAAGGAATGAGGAAGAAGAGGTCAGGATACCAAAAATTCCTTAATAAGTAGAGGAAATGAGTCCAGAATTATGAAGACAGAAATGGTAACTGTGGGTTTATCAAATCCAACTCCCACATACACAATCCTGAACTGTGCCCTGGGAATTAAAAAGTATATAGGTGAGGAACAAGCTACTATGCTTGAACAAAATGATGAGATAACAGCTGACACCATCCTTCAAAGGGGCTTTCTGATTTCAATGGGAACACGGTAACAAAGGGTGAACAGAAGCACCTCCTAGATATAAGGGGAGCATGATTGGTTTAATAGGCAGCAGAGCTAGGGTAGTTAGCAGAATGGCTTGGATCTCTGATGGTGGCTATTCATGGGGCTCTTAGGAAAAAAAGAGGCAGCATACTAAGGCGTTACTTGATCTGTACAATGGGAGCAGGAAAAAAAATATGAGAGTTCTTACTGGAGTGGTCACTCAAGAGCCAAGTAATACCCAGATTGAATCTGTTTAGACAAAAAGTCCATGGAACAAAAGCAGAAGATGGGTTCCAAAGCTAAAGTCTTCCTCCTGGCCTTTCCTACTATACATTAGGGAGGTGATGCATTTGGGAAATGGAGATTACTCAAATTTTTCAAGGACTGTCAATACTCTGAGCCTCTGAGCCCATACTAAACCTTAGGAACCAGACTATCACTGTAGCAAATGAGTCAAATCAGGAACTTCTGGGTGTCACATGATACATAGCATTTTGGCTTCAATCCATCTCAAAACGTCCCCAGTGAACCCAAGGTCCTGCCCCATGATTTCCCAGTTCCGGATCACATAAGTAACACAGCTGCCTGTCCTATGGAAGCAGGGCCATGTTACAGGAAGAGCCCAAATGGAATCCCTAGATGTGTCCCATCCTATCAAAATGACAAACAGCACACCCCTGTGAGAAATACAGTGGATGCAGTAACTTCAAACTTGATGGTGATTGATGACACTTCAATTTCAATGTGGCCAAAGAGGAGAATGAGTCTTGGAGAAAGAATGTAGAAGATGACAGTTAATCACAACCAGTGGTGACTCCAATTTTAACTGCTGTTCCAGGTACAGCCTCATCACTAAGACAAATGAACACTGCTCCTAGTAATATGTAACCAACACGGGGCTGGGGATTTAGCTCAGCGGTTCTGCTGCCTACTTTGTAAGCTCAGGGTCCCGAGTTTGATGCCCAGTACCAAAAACATAACAAAACAAAACCACCACAACAAAAAAATATGTGTAACCATCAACTTTTCTATACTTCAAAACCAGAGATCACCAAAAGCTGCTGTTACCTTACAATCCAGTAAAACCTATACCATCCTGGCTCAGGGCTACATCAGCACTCCATCTTTCATGATCTGGTCCACAAGTCCACCACCATTATTCCTGCAATAAAGTACAGGTCTTCCTGTACCCCACCTACACTTGGTATTATCCAGCTGTCCAGTTTTTATTAATCTAATAGGAGAAAAAAAGACATTCGTTTCAATTTGTACAGCTGATTAATACTTGTGTTTTGTTTAAAATTTCCTATTTTGTAAAATATTTAATACCCTTTGCCTATTTTTCTAGAGGTTACTACCCTTTTACTGTTGCTTTGTAGTCTCTTAGCTAGTCAAATAAGCCCTTGCCCATTGTAAGCACTGTAAATATTTCCCATTATTTCATCTTTTGCTAAATGAAAATTTTTAATTCTTATACAATCAAAGTCATTATTTTTTAACCTGTGTAAGGTTTTGAATCATTTAGCAGTCCTTCCCTGAACATAAGGGAACAAGTTTCTTCAATATTTTCTATAAACTTTGTAGTTTTTTCTTTCGCACTTAGGTCTGTAATTCACTCAGAGTCCACCCTGTTTATGGTGTTAAGTTTAAACCACTCTCCCCAACAGGAGACTCCTTTCTCCAGTAATTTATGTTATCTTTATCTCACACATATATTTCCCTGCCCTCTAATTTGTTTCTCTGCACTTATACTAGTTCTTGTACTTACACAGTTATTACTACAGTCTTGAAATATTATTTTAACTTTTGATAAGGCAAGCCAGCCCCCAAAATGAATTTTAACACTGGTCAATAATTCCCAAACTTTATGCCACCTGCCATAAATTTCAGATTTAGGTTACTCAGTCAAAGAAGTCAAATGTAATTTTGAATGCAAATTGAATTTCTAGACCAAAATGGAGAAAACTGTTTATAATAATTAGATTAAAAGCACAGAACCTTCTGCAATTTGTTTAGATATCCTTCTAGAGCCTTATTAAAATTTCTCCTCAAAGGTCTTGTATAGTTCTAGGTTATTTTCTAGACTTTAAATATGTTATCTACTTTTGATTTGGGGGGGGGTACCTGTGATCGAACTGTGCTTGCCAGGCAGGTGGCAGAACCACTGAGCTAAAGCCCTGGCCCTATTTTTGACTACTTTTAATGGCTGTGTAAATGTTATTTTTTATAGGTTAACTTTAAATCTGAACAACTCCAAACTTTAATCCTAACCATTTCTCTTTTTCTCAATAGTACCTGACTGTAGCACATGATGATCACATTCCTCCTGGGAAGTTGGTGGATGTACTTTTTTTAAATCTCCTCTCCCCTACCCTCTGCCTTCCCCATCTCTCCATCTCTTGTTGCATTTGGTCCCATTTGCAAAAGACCTATCTCCCTACTTCCTATTCATTTTAGCAGTTCTTGGGCTGGAAGCTCAGCTGCACCATGCCTGCCTGGCAAGCGTAAGGTCCTGAGTTTGATTCCTAGTACCAGAATAAAAAAAGTTCTTAGTACATCACATTCTCTGCAAAGTATGATTTTATTGTTTACCGTCCAGCCTTTATAACTTATTTTCCTTCCTTACAATGTTAATCAGGAACTTTCTTACCATGTTAACCAGTAATGAACAGGGATATCCATATTTTACCACTTTAAATCAAGTGTATCTAAAATTCCTACTTAGCCTGTACTACTAGTTCGCCAATAGCTTTTATCATAAATAGGTGCTGGATCTTATCAAGGGAGATAACCATAATTTTTCTCCATTTTTCCCATTAATGAAATTATATTAATAGCTATATAGATGTTGAACCATGCTGACATTCCTAGGACAAACTATGGATCAGGATTCTTTTAACACATAGTTATATTTGATGAACTGGTACTGTGTGGGATTTCATTTCCATGCTAGTAAGTGAAACACACCTATACTTTTATCTAGTTTTAAAATTAAGATGTCACTAATCTCATAAAATAAATTTTGCATTTTTTTTCTATTTTCCACAACATGTAAAGAGGAATTAAGTGTTGGTTAAGTTTGACAGAGCTCACTAATGTAATTACATATCTGGATCCAAATTTTCAAAAGGGGAGGCTTTAACAATACTGCTTATTAAACATTACTTCAAGCTATTTCTTCTGATACCAATTTTCAAAGTTGATAAGTTTTCTAAGAATGATACAGGCTTTCAAATTTACTGACACACAGTAATTAAGTGTTCGGTTTTTTTTTTTTTGGTACCAAGGATCAAACTCAGCCCTTGTGCTTGCAAGGCAGGCAGCAGAACCACTGAGCCAAATCCCGGGCAATAGTGTTGTTTTTAAAAGCTTTTTATTTGTAATTTTCCATTTTTCACTTATTTATAGTGTATCTTTTTTCTTGATCAATCTTATCAGAAGTCTGCCTAGCTTATTAATCTTTTCAAAGAGCTATCTTTTAGTTTGGTTCTTTTGTTCTCAAGTTCAATGATTTCTGCTCTTAACTGAGGCTTTTTTAATTTTTCAAATGAACTTTGTTTAAGCACTAAGGCAAGCTGTCTACAGCATTTCCATCGGTCACTTTGTCACTTTGTACAAGGTCTAGTTTCACAACCTGGTCTTCAACAAATAAACCGCACAACGTAAATAGTATTCTCATGCATGCAAATCTTACCAACCACACCTGCACATCAGTGTCTGGCTAAAGCAGTATCTTAAAAGGCAAATAAGGTTGTGCACTGTTTCCATTTTAAAATTTGTGTAAAGCTGTCACTACCTACCTGTGCCCAAGGCAAGTACTATTTTCTCTGCACAGCTAAGTGGTCAACTACTGGTACAGCTTGATAAAATCCGTATTAGAATTGAAATCTTCAGAACTTAGGAGTTAACGAGAAAAAACCTCAGCTGTGAGGGTCACATTCACTGCACCGACTACATCATGGGGGTAAGGGGGGCACCTGTCTTTTCCATACCTATGGAAAGCCCTAGGGCAGTTACAGATAACAAAACAAACTTTGGCCTCGAATCTGACTTCAACAGTTAAGATAATTCACAACATAATGAAACTCAACATGCAACAAAATCCTGGATTTGGACACAGGCTGAGTTGCTTATTTTTATGAGCAGAGGCTGGGAAAAGTGATGTTACACATCAGCTTCCAAACAGATATCACAGTTCCCACTGCATTAAGAAGCAACTCATACATTTCTCCGCTAGGATGCAAAAGTGTACAGGTAAGCAAAGAACAGTTGTAGATAACAGATCAACTTTCAAATTCCTGACTTGTTTAAGACTAGGTAATAGCATAAGAACAAGAGTAGCCAAATTTCTCTCTCTGGGCGCTTAGGCTGAAGGCCTTTCTCTAACGAAACTCAAGCAGTCTTATTTTCCCCTCACCTCTGGGGGCGAAACTTTTAAGAGGAACGGAGAGAAAAGAGCTTCCTAACGTTGAGAGATAGCCAGCTGTGATAAGGATCGCGTTTGTAGCACAACTGGGGGCTGCGTGCGTACCGGGCTGCTTCTCTAGACCAGGTAATATAAGAAGAACTGGCCACGGACACCACACGAAGGGGGAAGGGGCGGATAAGGGGAGGAGAAGAGAGGAGAGACCCAGGCCTGAAACAAAGGAAGCGGGGCTGCTCCAAGAAGGGGTGGATTCGGCGTCCGGGTTGGGAGGAGAGAGCCACGGCTGCCGAGGAAAGGCTGGACTCACAGAACTTGGAGGTGGAGGTGTTGATGTTGATGGTAGAGCTGGGGCTGGGGGTGGGGGCGGGGGCCGCCTTAGCCACGGCGGCGGCCGCGTCGCAGCCCTTCAACATCATAATCACCCCATTGGCGTCCGGCGGTGGCG